TTGAATAATAGTAGAAGCCTAAGACACAATCAATGTTCAGATAGCATTTTTTTTTTTTTTATGCTTGCTTCTGTCTTCAGCAAGGATAGAATGAGCAGATGGTTCAGTATGACTGTAAAATTGTGTTAGGCTTTGCTGAAACCCAGAGCATTTGACTGTGATCAGAGCAAGGTAGACCCTGTGGAGGTAGACCCTGTTCCAGAATCCAAGAACTGAAAGTGGAGTGGAAATGTGTTCAGTGAGCAACAGTGAGGGTAGGAGAAACCAATTTGTAGGTAGGGCTTTAACCAGCAGCAGCAAACTGCCTGTACCATGTGAACTAAAATGCAAGGCATTTGTGTCTGTCAGACTGAAAACCAGAAGTGGGCTCTGCGGCATCAAGTCCATGAGGTTGAAGTGGTGTATTTTGGTTTTGAGGAACTGTAAGATAAATCTGAGACTGGGACAAAATCGATCCCTTTGGGGGGGATACAGCCCCAGATAGGGAGTCCTAAACCCAGTTCTCCACTCCCACCCAGGTGTCCCAATGATGGACTCGACTTGCCGCAGATGATAATGTGTATTATAAAGAGGTAGACCACTGCATTTAAATAACAAAGATCCTTAGATATGCTAGATGGTAGCACAACTGCCTGTAGATTATAATATAAGAAAAGGTGTAATAAATAAGAAAAGACATACTCATCACCTTCCCCCCCAAAAAATTCGTGCTTGTTTAGGAAAGAAGTTTGTTCCTCAGGAGAAGCTAATTTTGGGATGCCCTTAAGATTTATATTTGATCTAGTGCTGTTTATTATCTTGATGTCTTTATAGTGGCGGCAGTTTTTGTCAGAGTGGAGGCTCTGAGCCCTTTGTGGGTGTTTCCCGGCCGCTTGCGCTGCTCTGGGAGTTCGCAGGGAGGTGAGTGGCAGCGTTGCCATGGCTCACAAAATTCCCTCTTGAAGTGCAAAATGTCTCTTCCCAGTTTTGGGTTTTTTTTCTCCAGTCACAGCATGGCCACCTTGATGTTGAGTTCAGGATGAATTGGCTTTTACATACCACATGTGTGAGAAGCCCCTGTATAGCCGCATCAGTGCAACCACTTGCTTCTCGCCTGTGCTTTCTGCGTTTGTGGGTATTCAAAGGTACTTCCTAAACCAGCTGTTCCATCAGCCCCGCCATTCTCAAATAAAACAGCCTCCTTTTACAGCTTCCTAAAAGCAGCCGTTTCTTTAAAGCCTGAGGACGCAGTGACTTGTGATAGCGAAGAGGAAGAAGGGTTATTTCTTTTGCTTTAGGCTTTGGGAGGAAAGCCGCTGTGCTGCTCCAGTGCCGGCCAGGCTCATGCTTGCTCCCGCTTGGGCTTCACAGCTGCGTCGCCAGCCGCGTGGCTCTGGCATCCCTCCCTTTGCCACAGCAGCCCGGCAGCTATTTGAGATGCAGGTGCCATGTCCCGGTGCCCGCGGCCTCTTGGCTCCGGAGGAAAGGCGCACGGTCACTGCCACAGCTAAAAATAAACCCGCGAGAGGGCAAGTCGCAGCTTTTGGCTCTGGGGGGTTTGGGCAGAGCTCGCCCAAGGACGAAGGTATTTCTTGCAAATTGCAGATGTGCAAATGGGAAACGGTTCCACTTTGTCACCGTTAAAATTCCTGATGCTTAGCTCCTGACACTATTGCAAGTGCAGCTTAAGGAAAGAAAGCAAGTCACAGATGAACTTGCTCAGACCTGATTTTTCATGAATTCCTGCAGCAGCTCTCCCGTGGTCTGCAGAGGTCTCGTTCTGCTGTCTGATGCCACAGCGTGCTACTACAAAACCTGCTTCTAGGGTCTGGCTTGCAGTGGCCCCTGTCCCAGTAGCCTGTCCAGGCTCAATTTTCTCTGCTTGTCTTTGAAGCTTTTCATCATCTTTTTCCTTCCGAAGAAGTACGCCCCAAAAAGGCTCTAGTCTTTATGTAAATGGAATTGGTTGCAAACGTTTTAAGATAACTTATTCATACTCCAGCAATGCATTTCTGGAGGAACGTGAAGCAGAAAATGACTGGGATATGTGTGTACAGCATTTTAGTTGCTGAGCAACCTGTTTCTTGCTTCTGCCACTTAGCATAAGAATCCAATTTCAAATAAGGTATTTGGGACGCTGGCTGACTTAGCAATAGCCAGCGTAACCTGCAGAGACTAGTTGGACAGGGAAACAAACCCGCTGTCTTGGGAAGCAAGAAGCTTTGCAAGAACTTTCACTGTAAAGGACCATATATCTGCAATGTTACTTTCTAATTCCCATACATAGTTTTTCATGTTTGGGTTCTTGGGTAGACCTTAAATCACTGCTCTAGACAAAGCATGCCCAGAAGCAGTGGTTCTTATCTACAGCTCAACAAAGCCAACATTATCTTTCTTAATGCTAGTAAACTTCCCATGTTTTTATTAATAGCATCCTGAGAACTTGTGCAACCAGATGATGTTTGCTCCTTTTCTTCTGACGAGCTTGTTTTAACCAGTTTTAATAAAAAAAAGCTTTGGCGTGAAGGCAAAATAATCTTTCATGTTGATGGAAAGGAAGAGCATACACTTCTAATATAGAAAAAACCCCAGCTCCCTGGAAGCATGCTGTGATTGATTAGACTCACAAACTTGAATTATTATGTTTGGAGTTTTACTTTTTTTATTCTTGTTTTGGTTGTTTGTCTGTTTTTTCCAGGCTTGTGTTTTTGTAGAACTGCCACCACCCAAAAAGAATTGGGTTTTGTCCTCTTTGCAGTATATTTAACACACCTCATTTTTCATGTCTGACTCTCTTCTTGGCTTTCTGTTGTCATTCACAGGAATTAATTGGAGATACTTGCCTACGTTCATCCACCCAAGTATGGTTTCCTCCTTTCCTTCTCAGCAGTAGCTTATCTGCAGGGTCAAGGGAGTAATAGCAGTCACATTGAATGGGGAAACAGGGGAACGGAACCCAGATCCTGCTAGAAGAAGCGTATGCATTTTTTTGCCCTGGTCTGGCCTTGAGGACCAGCTTTGCAGAGCCTGAAGAAGCAGTGTATAGGTCAGAGAGCAAGATGGAGAAGGCTGTGGTTCAGCTCTGGCTTAGACCTGTGCTCCAGCGAGAGCAGACGGTTTGCGCCTATCCGAGTTGTCTAGCTCACGCAAGCTGCTTTCTCCAGATTATTCAGTATGAAATGAAGGTTTTAAACTCTAATATCTAGATAACCTTTATAAAACAAGTAAAATGCAACCTTAATAGTAATCTTGGAAAGCATTTCTTTTTTTAATGTTGGCAGAAATGACTGGCTGCTAGCAAAATTGTGTATGTAAAGCTAGAAGATGTCTTCCTGTGCCTTGTGTAGCTGTGCAAGGAAGGGGTTGCGTGTGCAGATACCCGGTCTCTCTACACCCTTTCTTCTTCCTTTAGACTGAGTATATTTGATTCATAAGAAGTATTTTGTGGGATTTTGTGACAGTAGGCAGCGGTTGCAGTAAGTTGTCTCCTGGCAGCTGGGCTTCACACAGTAAATCCAGCTTACTTCTGCATCTTTTAGCAGCTAATTATTCCAAAGTCACAAATCTAATTGTCCTGTGAGAGTTTTCTTCGGAACATCTTTCCTGAATAATCACTGCTGATTTTTGCATGTTTTTTCATAATCTAATTTAGAAAGGACAGGATGTTTTTAAGGAGCAAGACAATAGTTACGCAGATCCAGTGGCTTCATTTTCCTGTGTGGAAATCGGTGACACGCTCCTTCTGGGACCGGTGCTGCTGTTCATGCACATGGGAGTTAAGCTTAAACCCCCCTGGTAGAGGTATTTAAGGGTCAGTTGTTATGGAAAACCTTGGAATTTTATGTTAGGGGCATGAAATATTTAGTATGCAAATCCAGTACTGTTGTTGATGGATAACTTATTAAGAGTCACCAATGCTGCAATGCAATTAGGGACTTGAGAGTGTGCAGCCAGTTTCCAGTAAGGTGGAGTATAACCATAAAGAGGAAAAGAAGAAAAGACAAGACGCTACTGCTTTAAATTACTGTGAGTGAAATTCAGGTTAGACATGAGGAAAACTTTCTAACAATCCAAGGAGTTAGTCACTGAAATAAGTGACCCAGGGAGATGGAGGAAGCTCCAGGAGGGTCTTTAGGAGGAGGTTGGACCGACGTTGGTCAGGAATGTCGTGGGCAGTGCTGGTCCTGCCCCTGGTGAACCAGAGGAGCAGGCAGCCTCCCCAGGTCCCCTTCACCCCTCTGGCTGTCAGCAGCCACACTGTGAAAGCCTCCACCGTTTATCTTAGTTCAATTTCTTATCCCTAATAAATCAAAAAAGTCCTCTGGCTCTTGTTACGCTATCAGCCTGTTCTGTACTAAATATATCATCCTCGGAGGGCGTTTCATGACTTCTAGCTGGGGTTTGCACACCAAGGCTTGTACTGCAGGTAATGTTCTCCTCCAGGCTCGGCAGCTGAGCGGGGCGTCCGTTTCGTCGGGTTTCTTGAACAAGTCTTTAATTGGGTCTTGCTGGTTTGTGTGAACTATGTTTTTCATGCCAATATTTGGCATGCAAAGTGCTTACACTCTTCTCAACACTGAGGGTCTTATTAGATGCTGATATTGAAGAAAACAGCGTCTTGCTTATAATTTCTCGAGTGTGGCTTTTTTTCCCCTCTGCTTTCTGAACTTCCATTTAATCCAGTAAATGGCTAATTTTAGCATTGTGCCAAATGTTTTATTGCTGTTGTCTATGTATCTTCAAGCTGGTCTGTAAACCAATCAGGATTAGATTTGGGGTTTTTTTTCTGTCTTATCCCTTGCCAGAATTGGTGCCGTTCATTTGTGCAAAGTACAGGGGATGCAAAGCTGTCGTAACCAATGTGGTGTCATGGCTGACCTCCTCAGTGGGCTGTAAAACACCCAGGTGGCCTTGGGAAGAGAACTGAATCCAGGCCTTGAAGATCTCATCTTGCGAGATAAAGCCCGTTAGTATGTTATTCCTGACACTGAACGAATTATGTGTCTGTTTTGCAGGAAAAAAGAGTACAAGTCTCCCCGCCATTGACAAGAGGACCAAGTGCCTTTATACCAGAGAATGAAGTAAGTTTGTGGTTAGCTGGGTCGGGTGGGTAGTAGCTTTTAAAATGGAAATCCTGAAGGACAGTTTTATGATCCTGCTTGTCCCATGGTGCCCAGATGAGCTCCTTTGCAAGCAAAAGCAATGGTTTCTCTGGAGCAGGTGCCAGTGGGTAAGAACCGCTTTGCCCTTTCGCACAAGTGGTGCCATTTGACATCTTTTCGGTTGCCAGCACTCCTGGAGACAGCTGTGAGTGCCGGCTCTGCTCTTCTCGTGGGGGACGATCACTTACTACTCTTAATGCCAGGCCTAAGGGGAGACCTATCCAGTATTGCGGCAGTATGATTATATAGCTCTCAGGGCAGTGTCTGACCTTCAGTTTTAGAGAACCTGAAAATATGACTAACTCCTTAGACCGTAACTGTGGCTCTTGAGACAATTTATGGTTGAAAGGTACAGTTTGACTTCAAACTCAAGATTTCTGCCCGTGATTTAATGTTCAACTTCAGCCTTGATTTGCAGCTTGTTACAGTAAGTAGAAACTTCGCTATGGTGGTGTTCTCCTGTGATCTCAATCTTCACAGAGTATTGTTTATTGATTAATTAATTATTTGGGATGGCCAACTATAAAACCAGGACCTTTTTTTTTGTTTTAAGTATCTGCTAAAGGCAGATAATTCACATGCTAGAAGGGCCAAAAAGACCTTTTGAAAGATGAGATAGCTGCTGTTCTCTGAGTCTCTCTCCATTTATACACTGACAAGGTTTTAATTTAAAAATAAACAGAGAGAGTGTAAAGGCTGGCAACAAGAAAACATAATGGAGTAAAAAGGAAGAGAGGTCAAAAAGAGTCTTTTAGTCTTGGGAAGAGGGGAGCAGAATAAGTTCCAGCCAGCCAAACTTGTGAAGAGGACTTCCCCTTTCATATGAAATACAAGATGAAATTGAGATGCCAAACTTCATAATGACTTAATTTTTCTCATTAAGTCAATAATTGTATACAAAGTAGAAAAATAAATGTAGTTAAAATAACATATTTTGAGAGAATTGTTAAATGAATTTATTTCACAGCTGATACACTTGGTAAAGGTGCTAGCCAAGTGTGCAGGAGGAATCACTGAGGAGCTCTCAGAAAGTAGTAACCCCAGTGGTTACCCAGTACAAGCAGGGAACCTCCACCTGTATGGATAAAACAGCTATTCAGTATCACGAACAAATGTTAAATATTGTTTGCTAAGCAAATGAATACCTTTTCCCCCCATTCCTTGGCATGAAATAATACAGTGGATAGGAAGGATGTAGTTAGAGATTAGTAACACACTGAATGTCTCACAAATCTTGATAATAGCACTGCTTGTTCAAAGCCTGCTTTATTGTCGTAATGGAAGGAATATGGACAGAGTCATAACAACTTACTTGTAAAGGTTCCTGTTAAAGTGCCATAAGGCTTTGCAAACAGAAAAAAACCCCCATGTTTGTGGATCCATGGATGGTAATAAATCAGGAGGAAGTACCTATACAGTATAAAGAAGATAGTAATATAGGTGGAGATAAATCTCAGAAGCAATAATGCGGCATATTGCTATGCCTAACATAGCAACAGTGCAGTCCTACAGGATTATATTTCAATTTTGTCAGCAGAATTTCTTCTCTATAACTTGTACTGTTATAAGGAAAACTCCTGATAGGCTGGAGAAGATTAGAAACCTTACCAGAGACAGGAAAAGTATGATTTCCCCAAGAAACTACTAAATGAGACAAAGATCTCTTAAATACATGGGAGATACACTTGGTGAAGAATAAAGGTGACTCCTTGGAGTGGAGCGAGGCATATACAGTAATAAGTGAGATAAAATGATATCTAATGTGTGAATAAACTTCTGATGGTAAAAACATTCTTAAAGAAAACTGAGGAGACATCATCTTGGGTATAAAAAACAGAAAAGCTCACATTGTGAAGAGCTACACATGTAAAAATGATGGATCTGCCTAACTGCATAGTTGCTTCTTCCCTTTCTTTCTGGACCCACAAATTAAAACAGGGAAGTACAGTGGTGAGAAGTGAAAATGTAGTATGTTGTTCATGTTTCTTTGTATGTAACTTCTATATAAGATTTGATGGAAAAATATTTGAGACGTGATCTATTCATCAACCCACCATAAAGAAGGAAAACATATTTTAAGTAGAGTATTTCAGCAAAAGCGTTGTGTCATCTTGGTTTTAGGCACTTTCTATCTTCATGTGCAGTAAACCAGCTAAAATGTTTTCTCCTTTAATACTGTTTGCAGTAGTAAGCTGACTGGTTTAATACTGTGCAGTTTCAGAATAAATACTGGGTATTCTAGTCTTGTGCTTGTAACTTCAGTGGTGAACATGTTGAGAATGGCTGTTCTTGGTGATAAACACTGAGTAATAACACTAATACTGTGTCAGGGCTTGCAATGCAAGAGCTACTTACTCTTTTGCTGTTTCATTTCATCTTGTGCCCAAGGTTTGGATTGGTTGGAATAATTAAAGAACAGCTTTTGTTTAAAGAAAGCATTAAATTCTTATTCTAAATAATACTTGAATGTTATGGACAAATTAACATTTGATCTTCTCTTCAATTATACAAGCACAGAAGGGGTAGATTGCCAGGCTGTTTCTATAATTTGGTTACATAACCCAGTTCCTCTCCATTAATTTTGAAATTGGTTTTAGGGCTGAATGCTCAGGTGGTGTGTGTCTGTACAGGCTGACTTCCATCAAGACTTTACTTTCCATTTATCTCTTGCTTAGTTCTAGTTCTCTGTACAGGTTTGACTGTAAGCATCTGTGAGTTTAGCCATTTTGGAAAGATCTACAGAAAAATGTTTTTGGTTTTCGTAGAAATGTACTAAAATAACAGAGATACAATGTAAAGTGCTCTTCAGTTCTCAGTATACAAGTAGCATCTGTATGTGTGTATTCACACATATGCAAGCACGTATATTTACAAATATACCTTCGAATCTGCAGCATTGCCTTTAAGTTTGTACACAAGCAAACCTTTCATCCCACAATACATTTCTCTCCAGGGTGAAAGCTAGAGAAAATCTCTTTCTCTGTTAAGTTTGTCTATCTTATTTTTAAGGTTATGCAAGCAAATGGTTTGGATGAACGTACCAATCTTCTTGTGGAAGAATACTCTACGTCTGGTCGCCTGGACAACATCACACAGGTCATGAGTATCCATACTCAGTACCTGGAGTCTTTCCTCCGCAGCCAGTTCTATATGCTGCGCATGGATGGGCCCCTTCCTTTGCCCTATAGGCACTACATTGCTATAATGGTATGTACCAACAGGCTATGTATTTTCTCCTGTGACCTTGGCTTGTGTATTTAAAAAAGAAGGAAAAAGGAAGACTTTATAAAGTAGAGACCAGTGTGATATTTTGACAGGGCGTGAATTTTTGTTGTTGATTTTCATCAGAATAAAGCATGCCTAGCCAGAAGGTTTTCAATGAGAAGGGAGTATTGGCAACATACATGTTTCCTTCTTTCCCACGATGATACGCTTCTCACATGCCCACCAGAGTGAGGTTTTACAGAGAGCAGTTAAAACTGTGTAACCTTATTTCTAGATATTTAACCCATCAGTGCACAGCAGTAGGATGAGGTGCAGTGGACTCAAGTCACAACAAATTCCAGGTGGACACTAGGAAAACAATTTTTACCATGAAGATGTTGAGACATTGCAACAGGAGCCAAGAGAGGTTGTATGATCTTCAGGGATGGAGATCTTGTCTGGACAAGGCTCCAAGCAACCTGATCTGAGTCAGCCCTACTTTGAGCAGGGGGTTAGACCAGATCTCCTCTGGAGATCTCTTCCAACCTAAATTAGATTCTGCGATTCAGAGTAATCAAATGTATTTTTATTGGAGAATCCTCCATACTGTATAGAAATACATTGCACTATAAAACATGGTCCTTTGGAATGAAATTGTATTTTTGTTTTGTGTTAGTAACCTGTCTTCCACCTGCAGCAAAATCAGATTACACACTAATGTGCTGCACTTTTCCCTCTGTGTTTAATTATTCCAGGCTGCTGCCAGACATCAGTGTTCCTACCTAATAAATATGCACGTTGATGAGTTTTTGAAGACTGGTGGGATTGCAGAGTGGTTGAATGGTTTAGAATACATTCCCCAAAGACTGAAGAATCTGAATGAAATAAACAAACTCCTTGCACACCGGCCCTGGCTAATCACGAAAGAGCACATTCAGGTACCTGTTAAGTTGTGCACTGTAACAGCAGTAAATGTCTGGTAATAAGAACTGCTAAGATCTACACAAGTGTCTGGTTAGGCTTCGTTACCTTGAGTTAAAAAAAATCAGGGAAGTACTAGAGCATCGAATAAGCCAATAAGTTCTTCTATATGACAAAGCCAACAAGATTTACTTTTTAGGAATAGCATTGGCTAAAATAACCCCGAAAGAAAAGAGGTAATATATTAGGTGTCTCTTTTTTTATCCAGTGAGAGTTTGTGTGCAAGAGGAATGTGTTATTGTTGGAAGAAAGGAATTGATCCCTTTTTAAAATACACAGTGTTTTACAGAAAACCTGGGGGCCAAAAGAAATTTTATATTTACGCTTTTTTTATTCTCATTTCAGAAACTTGTCAAGACTGGGGAAAATAATTGGTCTCTTCCTGAACTGGTGCATGCTGTTGTCCTGTTGGCACATTATCATGCCTTGGCAAGTTTTGTATTTGGTAGTGGCATTAATCCAGAGAGAGATCCGGATACATCTAATGGAGTCAGACTTATAGCAGTCAACAACTTCTGTGTCTGTGATCTTGCCAATGACAACAACATAGAAAATGCATCCCTCACAAGTAGCAACTTTGGGGTTAGTGTTGCAAGAAGATTCTTTTGCTTGCCTCTGTTTAGCATTAGAAAACTTTATTCTGTTCTTTCCTGTTTACATTTCAGGGTAGTTCGAAACTTTATGTCTACTTTACTGGAATGCTTGAGTCCCATAACTTCCAATCGCTCTAGCTGTTTTCAGTGTAATCTATTGAAAACCACATTGTAACAGTGGATGGTAGTCAGAGCGATGTGATTTTGATAGTTAATCTCACAACCCATTGGGCAAGACTAAAACTTGCTTTCAGCTGAAAGCTTAAAGTCCCAATTTCTTCAGATAGTGTGTCACTGACTGGAGCATTGTGTCGTCCATGTTCCTAACATGTGGAATGGAAAAAAATGGAAAAAAACCCAGAAGTCATAATAATAATAATTTTGACTTCAAGGCCTACAATCACAAAAGAGGTCAATTCTGAAACACTTCTGTGTGGATGGGAGGAAATGTCTAAAAGAAAATTACTTAATTCTTCATGCTGGTGTTCCAGCCTTGGATCAACCAACAGAGAACTTTGATTACTAATTAATTGACTTAAATGTGGAAATTTTTTTCTGAAAGTGGCTCTATAATGCTTTGAAGACATGTCCTTGAATAAATGCCGATTGATGAATTAGCCTCATCACCTTTGGTGGAAGATCAGGATTATGAGCAGAGTCACTAGAACAATGTGAACATGTGATGAGTCAGTTCAATTGCTGTATCTTAAATTTCTGGTCTGTAAGACATGCTAGTTCAAATCACCAGGGTGTCTTATTCCCTGTTTGTAGTGGGCAAAGAGCTGCTGCTGACTCTGTGCTGCTTGTTAAGCAGTGAGTAGCATCCTAGAAAGCAATTATAGCTATGGGCAAAAGAAAAGAATCAAAAGGAAAAGATGGTAAAGAAAAACCAAACAATTTATCTTACGAAAAATCTGAATGATAAGTACAGATCACAGAACCCCAAACTTTGATGTATGTCTAGTAAAGAGGCCTGTTTTTCTCACAAAAGCAAGAGAAAGGGTCAACATAATGGTTATTTTGATCATGTGTAATGAAAAGAAAAACACTGATTTGCTGTCTCAGGTTGTGTTCCTGCATTGCAGTGTTGCACTGTATCTCTTCAGAAACATATTTTGCATTACTAACAGACTGAAAAAAGTTACCTTAATATTAAAAGTTATTTTCTGATACATGTAGGGCACACAGATGGCTTTTCCTGAGCCATCTACATGGTGGAATATGTATTATAAGCGACAATGGTTTCCACATTCAAATACCACCTCTTCCGCTGTTAATCCCACTGCAGTAGATCACTGCGATAGGTTAGAGTGACACTTCCCAGCTCCCTTCTTGTAACTGTCTGAAAGCTGTTTGTCTACACTGTATGTGACAAAATGCGTTCTGGCTTGAGTTTGTGTGTTTGCTGCTGCTCTCTGTTTTTGAGAACGTTTGTTGTCAAGCATGAAATCTGAAGATGACACACGTTGTCTATCTTCTAATTTTGCAGAATGTCATGGTGTTTTTGCAGATTGCAGATTCTTTAAGTGAGCTGGAGGCCTTAATGGAAAGGATGAAGAGGCTACAAGAAGATAAAGAGGACGAAGAAGCTTCTCAGGAAGAAATGGCAACTCGCTTTGAAAAGGAGAAGAAGGAGAGTCTGCTAGTAATTAGTGGAGGTATTTGTGCTTTTCCAGTTCCGTTTTGTTTGTGCTTTGTAAGAACTAAACACTTGAGGCCAGTTCAGTGGCTACAACTTTTTCTGTCCATTTCTTTATTCTGGTTCTTGGTCAAGTAGGAGTGTAGTAAGGGTGGTCCTGTCACTTGCTTCATCTGCTTAAGATTTCTTGATTGGCAAATAACACCATCCTTTTAGCTACTTGAAATTTAGCTTTTGTATATTAAAAAAAGAAGCCTGTAGGCTTCTTTAAAAAGTTGGGTGTAAATTTCTCTTTCTTTATATGCTCTGTATTTTCAAATTCATTCATTCATGTAAATAGTCGTAATATTTCACAGATTTAGGTTCTACAGTGCTTAGAACTTCAATGACACTCTTAAGTAGCATTCAGATATGACATTTAGTTCAGGAAATAAATTGGGATGAGACTCAACTTCTTTACCATTTACTGCCCCCCTGGAAAGGACGTTTCTAAATTGCCATTCTGAGTTACCATACTGCTATGCTGTGCCACTCCCTGTGTTGTGACAGAGATTCTTCACATTTTTTTTATTCTTAAATAATGTTCAAAATTCTGAGCTGAAAGCTTCTTTTGCAACATTCTTCATATGCTCTGGAGGCCTTCATCTCTAGCAAACCATACAATGAAATCTGTTTCCTATAGACAGGAAAGCGGGGGGGTTTCCCAAAGAAAGTGTTCAAAGAAAGAGTACCATTAAGACAACAAGAATAATCTCCAACCATTTCCTCATAGTAGAGGCTACTTGAAGATGATAGCTTATGTCTTTTTAAGAAGTGACCCATAAAATGCTTCACATTTTACTGACACTGTTCTTTGTGAATTTAGATCTCTGTAGCTTCAGACCAAATGTGTTTAAAGGTATCTCAGTTTTTGTGCACTGAGCCCAAAAGAGAGGAAGAATGTGTTGTCGATCAGCAGAGGGATTGTCTGTGGCTCTCTAGGAACATGCAAAATCTCTGAAAGAAGATAGATCCAGCAACATCTTGGCTGGATTTTAAGAAAGGGACATTGTCCATTCTTGCTCTGTTTTTCTTTGGTGAGACAGTATCAACAGTGCAGATAAACTGACACCCATTGCAGTTTCATTATCAAATCAGGACTTCCATAAGTCTCTGCAACTTCAGGCGTATAAGGAAGAGGTGTTGTTTGGGACAGAAGGAGGTTTTTGTTGGGTTTGCTGATAGTTTTGTTGACGTTCCTCCCTCTTTGCCTTCTGCAGGTTTGAGTTGAGGGGTCTGTATGTGTTGGGCCTTTACCCTTCCATGAAGTTCAGTCCTTGTCAGGGGAGAGGAGTGTACGTGTGCAGGTTTTTTATTCATCTCTGAGGATTTGCTGTAGCAGATGCTGTGCAAGCTTCTTCCTACACAGTTATGTTTTGGTTGTTTAATGAGGCAAAGAGGAGATAAAGCACTTCTGCAATTCTTAGATTAACTGACTTTTCAAGGTGCTAACAGTGGACATATGGCAACTGTTCCGTGAATGCACGTGGAAGCGAGCCAGGATTTTAACATGAGGGTCAAATGCAGTCAGCTATGCAGTAGTCAACTTCTGCAGAGGTAGTTACACAATCAAGCCACCTGTTTATTCGAGAGGGAAAGATTGATTCCTGATAGAGAACCTGTGCTTGCTTAGTGACACATTTTGGAGCTCTTTGAAGATGCTTAGTTACTAGAGCTTCTGGCAGAATTTCAGCCTGATGTACTGTAGAGCTTTTTGCTTTCATATAATCTTCAACTGATATTTACAAGTGGAGTGTTACATTGCTTTCTGGTTGTTCATACTCTGGGTTGAATTCCTAACACCGTACCTGCTCAGCGTAGCAATCCTGTTGTCATGGGTGTGTTTTCTGTTCCTTCTCCTAGCACAATGACTTTACTAACAGGATTCATCTTCCTGATTTAAGATACCTAGCCTCCCTTAGAAGTCAACAGAGAGCAAAGCACACCTCCAGCAGAAGTTTAGCCCATCTCTTCCCATTTTGTAGAAGTATGTTAGATGTCTGGTGTAGGCTGACATTTAGTTGGCTCAATGAAAGGGATGGATCCCATACAAGCAGATTGGATTGAAATGTTTCTTTCCTTCATACCACTCTCTTCCTTTGCACAACTTCTAAAAATGTTCTCTAGTCCTGTAGTAGAGTGGTAGTTGGAAGTAGGCGCTAACTCATGTTCTTGCCTAAAGCAAAGCATTTTGCTGTTTTATTCACAGCATTTGATGATGAAATAGTTTCTACAGATGTCTCCCGCTATATTGAAGATCCTGGGTTTGGGTACAAAGACTTTGCAAGGCGAGGAGAAGACCATCTGCCAACATTCAGGGCTCAGGTACCATGTCTTTAAAGTACATTCACTCAAAGAAAGTTTATGTATCTCATTACAGGGCAAATAGCGTAAAGCAGTTGTAGTGGGGCATGTTTGTTGCATGCTCCTTTTCTTGTCCTGGTCCATTAAATAACTCGCAAGCTTCCGTAAATCTACCTGAGATGAGTCTTTTCCTATTTGTAAATCTCAGACAAGGGAATACTTAGCTTTCAGTCTTATTCCATTTATTACCAGAATTAATGTTTGAATTAATGTTTGAAAACTGTAAAGCTTATCACTAAATCTGGAATAAAAGTGAAAGGTAGAAAAGAAAGAATTGCTTTCCCCTCCCTCCAGATGTTGTAGAAAAAAATCCACTGGAAGAACTCTTTATTCTTGTCATTTTATCACGTATTCTCTGTCCAGTGGTGATCAATACCTAGATGTATATATATCTATGAGAGCAATTTGGTGAGTATTGTTCTCATACATGCACCAAATCACTGGACTTTGAATATTGGGAAAGAAAAGCAGTTCCTAAATATGATTACTGAATTTCTTGTCTATATCTGAATATATTTTTTTAGTGCTGTTGAGGGAACAGCATGTATATTTTACCAGTACATTGCTTACATATTGACATTTTTTTCCATAAGCAGGCTCATGAAGTTCATAATATATGTAACAGGAGGGACATTCTAGGTGGTTCTCTTACAGCTTATAGAGTAGATTAATCAGCAGTCTAGTAATAAATTGTAAGCAATGGAAGAAATCTTAAACCAAATCAGAGAACTTCAATTAAAAAAACAGTGGGTGCAGGAAAACTCCATGGTCAGAAAATTTATCTAAGACTGTAAAATAAAGAATCCATGATCATTCTCAGGAAATGTATTTAACTATATAGCAGTCTCTGCTGATCTGGATAATTTACTCTGTGGTCTTTATACGAGCCTGAAGTAGGTAGATATTGCCAAAAAGAATAAGGCAGAGTCAGTGCCTGTAAATCAAACATTCTGCTTAACTACTTTAGGAGCAGCAGGCTCCCATGGAAAAAAGCTCTACAGAAGTTGAAATTGAAACTAAAACATCTCTGCTCTTAAATAAGCAGGACAGCTTCTGGCCTACATTCAAAGGAGTCACCTTGATAATTTAACTTTATTAGTATGTCCCACTCTTAAGCAGTTAGATGTGGATACCCACAGCCTCCCAAATGTTCTGCTATTAATGCTATTCAAATTGCGGTAGCATCCCAAAACCCTGCAATAAATCTAATCCTTCTTCTGATAAAACAAGACTGCCTTTATCTCTGTGGCTTTAAATTTAATAATAGAAAAGGGTATTCCATATGCAGCAGAATGTCTTTAAACTTTTCTTTTTTAACTTTTTCATTGTTAGTGTGAATCAACTGTTGTTAGTAAACAGCACTTTTCCCCTCCTGGGGCTTCTGGCTTTCAGAGGCTTTTGTGATGTCCCAGGTGTCCTGGACACCTTTACAGGGCTGGTTGGTATGGCATATTTCTCACAAGCCTCACGGTCTTTTGGACTGGCGGCTGGAGGCCAAATGTGATGTTGTGGTGCATTTTAGATGTCACTAGATGTTAGGCAGCTGAGTATTGCCCTGCGTGCTCTTCCCTACTATCCTAGTCAAGGGGCAAGTCCAGCTGACGTGCCCTGAAGCGCTGGGGTGAGGACCTTGCCCAGCAGTACCTTTTGAAAACAGCCGGACACTGGAAGGGTGTGGAGATGATGCCCTCAATTATAAATGTGGCATCAGCGATGGAATGATTGAACACTTGCCAAGGATGTGGGCAAACTAGCATGTTCTGTATAACTGCAGTGTGGAGAGTGGTTGCAGACTGCTCTGAAGCAGGGTCATTCTCCACTGCTGGTGGTGTGCCGCCACTCTGCAAAGATTTCCCATTCCTGATGTGAGCAGGCAAGCTTTTATCCTTGCAGTCCAGGTGCTTGTCTAAGACCAAAGCAGCCTGGATTTTATTCGATTGTTCAAGGATGGTTCAGCACTTCACCCAGTGAGTGTATATCCTGGCTGGAAGTAAATACTCCATTTCTGCTCAGAGCTAAGCATCAAAGCCTCCAAGAGGAAAAAGTTTTTAAACTTAACGGGCCCATCCCACGTAGAACGACACTGGTCAGAGTGGCACAGCAGACAGTGGAAGATTGCCTCAACATTTCAAGAGAAGCTTGGGTTTTTTTCTCCTGTAGTCTAATGATATCCAGCTGGAGGTGGGGTGTTGTGACATGATATTCATTGCCAGGAAGCCTGGGGCAATAAGGGCAGGTGATATGGATGAAGGATTCAAAATACAAATTTTTTTAAGAGAATAAAGTTAAAACTAGCAGACAACAAAACCTGTTGAGCTATAGAGAGGACCTGATAGGGGCTTCATTTCATTTGTACATTTATATTTTTCCTTCTCTTCCTGCAGGACTATACTTGGGAAAATCATGGTTTTTCCCTTGTAAACAGGCTTTATTCTGATATTGGGCATCTCCTCGATGAGAAGTTTCGGATGGTATATAACCTCACATATAACACTATGGCAACACATGAAGATGTTGATACAACTACGCTAAGAAGAGCTTTATTTAACTATGTCCACTGTATGTATGGAATCAGGTATGGATGAAAATCCCCTGGCTTAGGAGTGCATTTTAAACTGTGTAAACAGAATGAAAAATGAACCGTGTGAAAAGCATGATTTTAGACTCCAGGTGTTAAAGTGGAGGTGGTACCGCAGTCTGGAAGTTAAATTGGTTTTGCTGGCATATCAGTATAACTTTTGCTTCCAGTGGAGAAAATGCTTATGAATCGGGATGGAAATTATTACAGAAATGTCTTCTCTGAAGCCAGCCTGTATCCTTTGTTCAGAAAAGAGAGCATCCTAGTACTAAGCCTTTCAGATCCTCTGTTAGCAGGTAGTTTTCTAGCATGTATAATAAATGCTCCAATTCCCAAACTTAAGAACATAATGCTGCAAAAGACCATGCTTTTAAAAACTTAAATCCAACAGAGTGATTGCCTGTGTTATTTAGGTATGATGACTATGATTATGGAGAAGTTAATCAGTTACTTGAACGCAGCCTGAAGGTTTACATAAAGACAGTGACCTGCTACCCAGAGAGAACTACCAAGCGCATGTACGATAGTTACTGGCGTCAGTTCAAGCACTCGGAGAAGGTACGTATTTCAAAGCCAAACTGACTTCACAGAGACCCCCGTGCTGTTTAAAAACTGAAATACAGTGACAACCAAAAATGGCAGCATTGTCAAATGAACTGTTTTTAACCAGAGAAAAACAAATGAGATTAACTAATTGAGTATTAGATATCAGTTTTACAAAAATACTTCTTAGTGTACTGGAAATACTGATTGTTTTTTTATTGTTATTTTGAGTGACTTCTCCATAAAATTGAACTGACAACTGTAAAAGAAAAGTGGATAAACTTGGGAATACAGAAGTGGTCAACTATGCCAATACTTGGGATTTGGGGATCAAAAAAGACTTTAACTCATATATATATATAAAAAGAAATCATATATTTTATGTATGTATATATATATAAAAAATCTTCATGGTGTTTTTCATCAACAAAAATGTCAACATGTCTTCAGATAGCCAAGTTAAATGCTTCCTGACAAGAGTTCAGTGCTTGTGTGCCTGCTAGCCTATCTGGCATGTAAACTATTCCTTATTCTCTGCTCCTGTATAGCATTCACAGGTGGTAGTAAAGAAAATAAAATACAGTTCATAAAGAACTATACTATTATACTAATACTATTAGGATACAAAAATGGTTTTATTGGGACTTCTCAGATGGAAGATTGCTTAAAGCAGTAGTTGAGGCTAGTTCCTTGCAGTCCTAGGGTGTTGTCTAGTATTGGCATACTACACAGCTGTCTCAAGAGGAACTGGAGTCCTGCAGCAGGGTACAGAGAGAGAGGACATAGTTCTTGCAGCGATGCTTCACTAAAGGTTAGAAATTTTAGTCTAAGTGAATAAACAATGTTGCATTCAGAGGTGAACTAAATGGCTGATATAATTTTTAACAGGTTCATGTCAATCTACTTCTAATGGAAGCTCGTATGCAAGCTGAACTTCTGTATGCCCTTCGTGCCATAACTCGTCACTTAACCTGAAGCATTCGCTGGGCAGGAGTAAAGGAGTTTTTACTGAGTATGTAAAGACCTTTTGAAATAGATACACACCAGAAGCTGTTTGTGATGTAGCATCAGGTTATTCAATTCTCTAGTGTCAAAGTTTAGCCGTGCTTCTTGGCGGCTGTAATGTGCAATGACGTGTTTTATTTTCTTGATGCTTAACATTACTAATGATAACAAAAGTAACACTGAGGAGCACTACTCTGCATTGTTTCCGGCTGGATTTCTGCACAGTGGTCAGGATCCTGAAACTGTTTTTATTATATCCAATCCTAGCGCTTTGTTCTTTAAGCACTGGAGTGAAGTGCTTAGAGACTTCTTTTTCCAAGCAATCATTTTTCAGATTAGTGGAGTCCAGCAGAAGATTGGTTCTGCCTGTCCTGAGAACGTACCACCATGTCATGACTCGTGACAGACACGCAGGCTGCGTTGCATTGAATTGCCCACTGGATTCTTCTGTGTCTCCTGGAGGCTGCCAGTCACTGTCTTACTACAGCAATTGAAGGTGATGCGAGATGTGGATGCAAACATTGAGCACACTTTAATGTGAAATTAATCATGATAAATCCTACAGCATGCTACTGAAGCGCGAAATTCATCTGCTTTGTTGTGCCCCTTCCCAAGAGAAGAGGCCTCACGATTTGCCATTTCAGCCACACTTAACTGTGTTTCAATCATGCATAATCTTGTTTTACTGACAGTCACCCTCAGTTGTCCTTACAATATCCATGCTCATCACATGTTGCAATTTGTTTAGTTGGCACCTATAAAGTTAAAACACAGGCTGACCAAAAATAGGGTTGTTGGTTTTTTTGCACTCTCTTCTTTCTCAATGTTTTAACTAAGGAAAGTAAAGGAAGGCTAGCATATCTGTTCTTTCATATTGGATGTGTAGAAATTTATTTCCCATAACCTTTTCATAGCATGAAATTTTAATATTCAAAGTTTAAAAAGTTTCTATGCATTAGTGTGAGTGAACAAAAGAAAAGTGCAATATTTAAAAAGAAAGCAAGCTTTTTTCCCTATCATGCCACTGCTAAAGTGTCCTTCTTATATAGCCATAAAGAAATTTTAAAACCAAATTTCTTTATTGTCTAAGGCCTAGCAGTTTTGTTTTAGCTTTTACGGCTTAAGACAACCTGATACTGAGATGCCAAAGCATCCCCAAAACAAAGCATTCTTGGACAACCAGTAATATTGGGGAAGGGAAGAAATAAGCTGCCAAAAATGTCACAATTTTGTGCTGTTTTCTGTTGCTTGTGGCTAATTTTTAAGAGCACAAAATGTTGATATTTATAGCTTTATTTTGTATTGCATTTAATGAACCAGTGAAGTGCCTAAAGAGATGCTTAAACTTACCCGGTAGGATGCAAGTTGTCACTGCTTCGACTTTTGTCTGTTGGTTTGGACTTTTCATATTTCTTTGAGGAGGGTGACCTTTATTTCTGTTGCATACATTCAAAACTAACTGGATAGGTTTATGTTTAATATTCCCTTGGATTGTAGAAGTTAATACAGGATTTTCTTCCACTGGTGATAGCAGAATAGTTTAAAAAATACTATCAGTCATATTTTAACACTTTTCATTGACAAAATCATGGACCAGTACGCTACTAAAGTTAGTTTTCTCTTTTCTTCCCTTTTCCTAATACCTTGCTGTGACTTCGCATGTTGGTTTTTTCGCTTTATCTATCTGTTCCAGATTGGAAAGCTAAATGATTGTACACTTTTCTGCACTTTCAGACTGCAGACTCTGCATGTGAAAACCTTTTGAGGAAGAAATCAGTAATTATTTTTGTTTTAATGTAATGTTGGCTATTTAGAAAACTACCCAATAGACAGCATCAGACTCTCTTCTAGAGAGAGCATTGGGTAAAATACCAGATTTATTTATCTTGTATAGCTAACTGCAAAGATTTCCCAGAAGTATTGGGATGCTCATATGTGTGAACTTAGACTAACTTTCTAAGTCGTTATGATCCTTTTTCCTCCCTTTTGTGACTGTAGTGGCCATGCCTAATGGCTTTTGTGCATAAAACAGTTCTGCTGAGAGAAGATTTCATGCAATACTTTTGCTTTTTTTCACGTGAGAGGAACTGTACAGTACTACTTTAAATTCCTTTGCTTTGAAAAGTCAAGTAGTTCTCAAGAAGCACAGTTGAGCTCTGGAAAGGAGGTGAAACTAGTTTTGGGTAACTAATATGACGGCTTAGTTTCCCTTCAGAAATGCAAAGACTCTTAGAGTAGGTTGAGTTTTATGTTTGGAAACATGAGTGCCTTTACTTCTTTCCTTATGAGATACACTTGCCAGCTCAAATGCCTTCTGAGCAAAGTACATGAGCAGATTTGGAATATAGAAACCATAAATGGGTTGCTTCATAAAATTTGTAGTAAACCAGTGATTTTTTTTTTTTTTTTTTTTTTTTTTATTTAAAGTGCCATATCAAGTCACATATGGCCTGCAAGACATTCCACTGTAGGAAATGTCATTGTACAAAAAAAAATTTTTCTCTTTTTTTTAATATTAAATGCAAACTTGAAACTTCTGGAAATGTTTTCCATGTGGCATTTTTTTTTTTCAAAGTATTGCATTTACAGTGTAACAATTTATAGCCTAGTTTTTATACTCAAATTTATGATTTTTAATAGATGTTTGTTCAGAATAGGTGTTTAAAGTCAGACAACTCTACCATACACTTTACGCACGCTTTAGGCTCACACTGTGCCAAATTTTAATGTGCAAGTGTTCGTGGATTTTTTGCATTTTTAAAGCACTCATGAATGTGAATCTTCACACTTTGTTCATTAATATTATTCTTAAGAATACCGTAATCATTGGAAGTGTAAATACTCTCCCTCTGTACTCCTTTATTGGAATTGATATTTACCAGCATTAATGTTAGTCCACAAAATCCCAGCTGTGACCAACATAAAAACAAAGTGTACAGTCTCCTGTCTACTGAAGAGAAAGCTTGGTAGGTACAAATGAACCAGTAGCACAGGAAATGCTGTAAGTAGGAAACAGAGCTTTTGGGCACGGACAGTTTCTTACCATTGCAGAATTGCTTCAAAATGTGTGTTGCGATAGAGTACATTCTTGCTGAAATTGCTCCATATTTTTTTTGTGTAATGAAGAGGAGTGAAAAAGCTGCTAACTGGAGAGAGCATTTGCATTTCCCAGAACATCCTGCCTGCAGCCGAACATCACAAGAGTGCCATCATACAGGAACAGGAGCCATTTTAAGCTAGGGTACAGTTTGTGCAGATAGCTACTGAAGCTAGTGTTGTGGTATCCTATGAGAATTTTGGTGAGCTGTAGATGGATTTATTTTCATCAAGACTCAACTGAAACATACATTCTTTGCCCTAAATCCTTCATTAAAATGAAAAGGATGTACTTTTAGCTTTAAGAGTTAAAGAATTACCATCAGCTCTTCCTATGTGTTAAAAAGACTTTTAAGGACAGGAAAATCAGTGATTGTAAACAATTATAAATGTAGGCCTCTCTAAATTTAGAACAGATCAGAACAGAACAAAAAGGAAAACATTTTGCTTCTCTGTTACTTGAGTGCAGAAGGTCAAAGCACCAGATTCTTCAAAAGTATTTTTGTTCATAGTGATGCTGATAGGTGTTTCCATGGGATTTGGAAAAAGCAGCTAGTTGCCTGAATTTCAGTCGGACTTTAAGCACCTAGGCACTTAGCAAAATCCTGCAAGGTGCCCACTTGCATTTTTGAGTCAGATTTTTAAAGACACTTAGTCACCTAAATTCAGTAGAATAAAATCAGTTTCCATAGAGATTAAAGGAGTTATGTGTAGCAGATCCATGTGATTTGCAGCGATTGTTAATGAAATGGGTTGTTTTGGGTACTTAATATAGGCTTAGAGAAATCTTTCCCAAAGCAGTTAAACTGTAAGCTGCTGCTCTTGCAGAACAGGTTCTCGATGTTTCTCATGTGTGTGTGTTTTCCATGAGCATAGGCATGCATTTCAGGCTCATGTTCCAGAGTTTGGACTCCCTTTTAGAAGAGCTGGATTATTTAACCTCTACTTGCAGAAAAGATCCATTGGTGGTAACAAGTGGATAGCTTGTGCCCAGACTAAAAAGTTTTGGCCAGAAAGAAATACTCCAAATCTTCTTGATTTCAAGTGATGTTCTTTCAGTTACTTTCCTTAGAGGTTTGGATCCTTCTCCCATAAATAAAGGGTGATGTTGCACAAAACGGAGGGAGAAGGGAGTGGATTCATTGTAAATGAACTTGCCCAGAGCTGATCTGAATATAAACCTGTAAGAATCGGTTTGCTGTTAGTGATCATTCCAAGAGATGCATCCACCAGCTTTTCCACATTTGGGGATTTTAAATGAAAATTTTTATCTCCAAATGAAAATGAATTTAGCATTTCATACCTACTGCACAGATCACAGGTGTGGGAGATGGAGAGAGCACAGTAGGATGAGGAAACTTTAGGACCGTCTTGATCAGTGTTAATTTATCCCTTAGAGCACATTTCCTGGCATGCGGTAATGCTGCTGCTCCCCCAACACACATCACGTCTCTCTTGCAGACATTTAATCCTTCTGCTGCTCACCAGGGGCAAAAACTGTCATTTTCCAACCTGCCACCACCACCACCCTCCATCAGGTGCTTCCTATCTTCCCAGCTCACAACCCCTAGCAGTCATGCAGGGACAACCTCCTAGCCTTAACCTTGTAAAACAATGCTAGGTTCCTATATCACCGTTTGCTGTTGAGTTCAGAGGGTCTTTCTCGTGTTCAGAAACACTTAATTGCCATATTAGGTTATTTCTGGGCAGGAAAATTCTAAATCTGCTTTGAAAGGTTAACACTCTGTACTTGCTTACACCATTTAGGTAGCATTTGCCAGTAGCCTGTCAGATTCCATCTCTGGAGTTACAGTAATAATCCAGTGGATCCACTAAGGAAACGCTTTCTTTGGCAAAACTCCCCGTGCTTGAGCTGTTCAGCCGTGCAGGTTTCTTTGAGGGATATCTAATGGGGGATTTGAGGTCCTCTTGTGCCAGGCAAGCTTACAGGGCCTTTGAGTCGGCAGCTCCTCGGGTGCCCTGCAGCCGGGCAGACTGCAGCTGACCTCTGCAACAAGTAGATTTGGGTTTTTTCCTTATCAACAGGATAAAACCAAATGCGTGCAGTGGAGTGGCTGCTGGAGACATAGGCAGGGCTGGGTGTTCCTGTGGGTACTGAGTATCATCAGGGCTCGTGGAAAACAGAAATCTGAATTCTGCTCTTGTTCCCAGCAGTAGTTAGAGGTGGTATTGGAGATGCCAATTAATACACTAATTGTGGGGAGCAAGCCACGCTGTCAGCATCAGAAGGTACAGACCACAGGCACTCTCAAGGGGACATAACCAGCACAGGAGGAGGTGACATGTTGGTCAGTTAAACAAACTTAACCGATGTGTCTGAGACATTGCTGTGTATGTCTGTGAGTAGGGGAGATGGTGGCAGGTGCCTCCTCCCGAGGTGTCCAGAGGGCTTCTGTAGGACAAGAGCTGGGCCCTTTCCTTACTCCACCGATGGAGCAGGGGAAGGGAACCGTTCGCTTCTGCCCGAGAAAAACGTGCCGCTGTTGAGCTACATTTTCTTGCCCCCATCAGCCCTTTGAAGGGAGTTTTCAGACAAAATGGGTGAATCGCCAAGCATTGTGTCTCCAGCTGAGTGGTCTGGGGGACAGCAACAGCAGCAGGTCCAAACACGCACGGTCCAAAACTGTTTCTCGTTCCCCACTTCATGCTCATGTCGTGCCGCCAGACCCAAACCTCTTCCCTCCAGTCCAGCTGCCACATGCCCAGGTGGCTGCAGGAGCAGCCCGCTCGGGGTGGTGGGAGATGCGGCTGCTTTTAGGGGGAAAATAATAATAATTAGGCTACAGCCCTTGGACTCTGCAAGGCGATGCAGTCAGAAATCTTTTCATGACTGTGACCGGAACTGGATATAAACTGTAGCTTAATAAAATAGGAATTTTGTA